AACATTCACTAACTTTTTGCAAAGATTGACTTCAGCTGTGGATAGAAGTATATTAGATCTACTAGCTAGAAAAGCACTAATAGAATCTTTAGCTTTTGAAAAGCTAATACTGAATGCAAAGAGGCAGTAAGGCCATTAAGAGCAAGATCTGCACCAATAGATGAATGGATTAGAAATATGATTGACATCAAACCTCCTTCACCCAATTTGACCTTGATAGGAGAAGCTACCTCTAAAGACCTTGGGAAATGTCTTAATTATGATGGCTAAGATTACTACAAAAGAAGTTACCAGGAAAACCAAAATAATTCAAGAAGGGAGCCTTATTTCCTAGAATATGCAGAAGATGTGGCAAGGGTCGACATTGGATTAGTGAATGTAGAGCAGTCACAGATAAATGGGGTAATCCTTTATCAAAAAACGCCCAAGGGGGTATCTTGCAGGCCCCGAAACAGGACAGGGATACTCTTGTCACAAGAAAGTTAAATACCACTGCTCTGGGATAGACATTAAAAACTTAGACAGCGAGCCAGAGCAGGTTCTATAGATGAATCAAAAAACCAGGAAGGGAACAAAAAACAAATATATTGGCAAACCTCTAAAAATGATCAAAGGCCAAAGTTAAAGATAATTTTAAATAATATTGAAATTGAAGGCATAGTAGATACTGGGGCTGATGTCACAATTATCACTCCTAAATCTTGGCTACAAATTGGCCACTTCAAGAGGTGAATATCCAATTCCAAGGAGTTGGAGCTTTATCTGAAGTAAAACAAAGTGTCAGATGGCTTAAATGTACAGGACCAGAAGGTCAAATAGGAAAATCAAGGCCCTACGTGGCTGAGATAGCCATAAACTTATGGGGAAGAGATCTGTTACAACAATGGAAGACCCAGATTAACATCCCCCCAAATTCTGAAACAAGCCAAAAACCAGGTAATACTCCTGATAAAGAAGCTAAAATTATTTAAAAATGACATCAATAACAGTTACAGACTGTCCAGGCTGTCCATAAACAAAATACATCAGAGGCCATCCTTTCAACTTCGTGTCGGGAAGCCACTGCTAATAAAACCCCCACAGCCTTACCACTAAGGTGGTTGGCAGACCAGTCTATTTGGATTGAACAATGGTCTGTGAGTAAATAAAAATTACTGGCACTAGAACAGCTAGTCCTGGAACAGCTGGAGGCTCAACATATAGAGGAGTCCAACAGCCCTTGGAATTCTCCGCTATTTATCATCAAAAAGAAATCTGACAAATGGAGGATGTTTACAGATCTAAGAATAATTAACAAAATTATTCAGCCAATGGGATCGTTACAATCTGGAATCTCATTGCCTTCCTTGTTACCTAAGGAATGGCCTATTATAGTGATTGATTTAAAGAATTGCTTTTTCACAATTCCTTCACATGAACATGATAGGGAAAGGTTTGCTTTCTCAGGACCCACTTTGAATAGAAGCTGCCCACTAAAGAGATATCACTGGAGGGTCTTACCGCAGGGAATGTTGAACAGTCCTACTTTGTGCCAATATTTTGTACAACAGGCATTGGAGATAATTCTTAAGCAGTTTCCTCAATCCATAATTTACCACTATATGGATGATATCTTATTAGCTGATTCAGATATGAAAACATTGGAAAATATTTTTGATGAAATAAATAGAACTTTGCCTTGTTGGGGATTACAGATTGCTCCCCAAAAATTACAAAGAGGAGATTCTATTAATTACCTAGGATACAAAATAAGTCTACAGAAAATTCAACCACAAAAAGTACAAATTAGAAAAACCCAATTAAGAACTCTTAATGATTTTCAAAAATTGCTGGGAGATATTAACTGGCTATGGCCTACCCTTAGTTTAGCTACTCAAGAGCTAAGTAACTAAGGACTTAAATAGTCCAAGAACATTATCAACTGAAGCTGAAAAGGAATTGGCTCTGGTAGAAAGGAAATTACAAGATGCATATATAGACCATATTGATCCAAAGAGGGCCTGTATTTTGGTTATCTTGCCCTCCACTCATTCTCCCACAGGAATTCTTATGCAGAGGGAGGACTGTGTCTTAGAATGGATATTTTTGGTACACAAACAAAATAAAAAAATAAAAACCTATATAGAAAAAGTTTCTGAATTGATCCTAAAAGGAAAAATGAGACTTCGTCAATTGGCTGGAATAGATCCAGCTGAAATTGTGGTGCCCTTTACCAATGCTGAGACTGTGTCATTATGGGCAGACAACGAATATTGGCAAAGAGCTTGTTGTGAATTTTTGGGAGAAATCAACAACAGATACCCAAAAGCAAGCGACTTCAGTTTATAAAAAGAACCAATTGGATTCTTCCTCATATAATAAAAGGAACTCCAATTTCTGGAGCTCCCACATGTTATACGGATGCCAATAAATAAAAAAGGGCAGGTTATAAGTCAGAAAATCTGAGTAAAGTGGTGGAGAATCCTTATGATTCAGTTCAAACATCAGAATTATATGCAATTCTCTTGGTGTTACCAGATTTTCATGACTCTCTTAATATAGTCACTGAGTCTCAATATGCAGAAACAGTTGTTCTGCATATGGAAACTGCTGATCTAATTCAGGATAATTCGGACTTAACTTCACTGTTTCTTCAATTACAACAAGTAATCAGAAATAGAAATAACCCATTGTATATAACACATATCAGATCCTATATGGGTTTACCTGACAGAATCCTCCTGCCAGCAGGCTGACATTGACATATCTCTTCCAGCATCTTGCACGTTCCAGCATTCTGCTTGTTCCTGCCTCAACTGCTTCAATTGCTGTTTCTCCTCAAAGACTGCCCCCAAGAGATCTTTGAAGAAAGCTACTAATCTTAATTGGTCCAGCATTTTAGACTGTTTCAAACAGGACTTTTATGAAGCCTGAAATTTCTCAACATTCAAAGACTAGACCACAAATGTTATTGCTTGCTTAATTAACCAATTTTTCCCAATTTTCTTTGGGCCCCCCTAACAGGATTTCTGCATGTCCAAAATGTCAGCTAGAAGAAATCCATGAGAACAATGTCCAATTTTCCTTAAAGGGGGTTGGGTATGTTTTTGTTTGTTTTCTATGGGCTACAAATTTTTATTGTCATTGGGAGATGTTTATAAATTATTAATGGTCTTATTCGGAGTGAAATAAGGTTATACTCAGGGATTCTCTCTCTTCCTTTTTCTATCTTTCTTTCTTAGACAAGGAGAAAAGGGGTTAAAAAGAAAGGAGTACACAGGGGTATCTTATAGGAATAAGACAAAAGGTAGATTATTGAATCTTCTCAACTCAGGGTTTTATTTGTTATTCTCAAATAAGGTTAATTTTAACTCTGGTATAGGATTTTACATATTGATGCAAAAATAAGTATTTTTGATACATTGGTATAAGCTTTACTATATTAATACAAATCCAAGGTTACTTTGAGAAATGGGACCATCCCAGACTAGAAAGAAAAACAACTGGACCTTGAATAAGGGCCAGCTAAGAAAGAAGAATAAGTCTGGCAATTAAGGGCTACTAAACCTTGAGCAGAGGCCAGACCAGATGGCCCTCCTCAAAAGACTGGGTGAGCTTGTTTTAAGATAAGAAACCTGGGACTGAAAAGACTGTCCTTGAAGCTGTAAGCTGCCAACTGCAAAACTGCTATCTTTTCTGCTGACTAGTCAATGTAAAGGCCTGATTTTTAGGTATAAAAACTCTGTGCTTGGTATGTTCAGGGTCGTCTCCTGCTTTGAAGGGACAACCCCCATCTGCCTCTTGCTTTTGCATAGACCCGCGGTCTGTGAGTCTCTTTGGGGAGGGAGCGGTACGGTGCCCCTGCATCGGGAGTGCAGGTTTTGCAACTTCCAATACTTTTAAACTGCTATTAAAAACCAGTTAGGGTATTAGGTAACGCAAGTTAATTGCTAGTTAATCAACTCATAGTCATGTCAGACACTAGTCTAATTATCAAAGGAGTATACATCCTAGGTTTAACAGATAGATATGATTTTGTAGACAGATCAACTGTATAAAGATAGGTAGTCTTCAAAAACTTCAGAGATCTACAGAATATGGCATTTAAAAATATCTATTATTTTAAAGAATCTTTGACAATGAGACAGGTCATCTCCTGGCAGCACCCTGCCTACCTCAAAGAAGATGATGAGCATTGAAGAACCTCCATATGGAGATGGCTTCAAATGTGGCAAATGTGGCCACTCAGGTAAAAACCAAAACAAACCAAAACAAAACAAAAAACCCCTCACTTCACAACAGACAAATTCTGCCAAAGATGGGCAAGCTTAAATGCAGGACAAGTCGACTGCCAAACTCTGCCAAGTCCTAAATAGTTCCTAATTCACATTTATGTCTGTCAAATATTCTGAGCCAGAAGGCTGGAGATGATGCTCCAACGTTATAAAGAGTTATGGGTGACTGTTCAGGCAGCAAAGTGTCTCTGTCAATTTTTATTTTTTGGAAGCTGCTAACATGCACTTCCTATTTACTGTAATAACTAATTTTATTCCTTCTCAAGTCTCTGATGGTGTTGAAGACCAAATAGTTATAGGGCCTCAATTAAGCTTAAGTTGTTTAGAAGTTAAGAAATGCTTTCATCTAGGTAATACCAATAAGGATGAAAGTTAATTTAGGTATAGAGCTCTAAATTTGTCAGGATAGATAGGATAATCATATACTTTCTCCTAAGTTGCTAAATACACACGGACTGAACATTGCACATGTAGATTTTACCTAACAGTTTTCATAATTTCATAATTATTATTATATTGAAAGAAAAGGAGCCTTTTATTGGACTTAAAGGAGGAAATGTTGGTATAATGCTCTTTTAAAATGCATACACCTTACCCTTGTTCATTCAAATGCTGATTTCTGCCCCCCCTTCAATCTGGATATTGCATTGTATTGATACTTACTCTGAGTATCCTGTCTCAACTGTGTGTAAACAGGTCAAAATAAAACAACTAGCCACAATGTTGCGCAAAGGAGCCAGAGGACAGGAGAGAGGAGAGAAGCCAGAGGGCAGGAAATGAGTGGGAGGAGAAGCAGGGAGAGCTAGGAGAGGAGAGCTGGAGGACAGATCCTGGAACTAAGTGGCAAGATGGATTGGACCTAAGATATCACCAAAAAAGCAAGTATAATGTTGGAAATCTAAATGTTAGGAAACTATGAGGGCTTGGAGGTTCAGGATGGAGTAGCTATTGCCCAGCATTGTGTTCTAGGTTAACTAAATAAACCCAGTGTCTGTGTGGTGATTTGGTTATACAGCTGCTTAGGATTAACAGCAGCATTACCAGAAGATAAATCAATAGTAAATATTAATCACCGATTACAACAAAGCTGGGGGAGCATTGACTGGAGGAGAAGTCTTGGAACAACGTGGAGAAATGAACCAGACCTAAGATATCACTAAAACCAAGTATAATGGGTGACTCTTAATGGTAGGAACTAAGCGGGCTTGGAGATTTTGGATGGAGTAACTATTGCCCAGCATTGTGTTCTAGGTTAACTAAATAGATCCTAGTCTCTGTGTGGTGATTTGGCTGTTTAGGATTAACTTCAGCTTTACTAAAAGATATATCAGTAGTAAATATTAATGACCTCATACAATACAGAGTGAAGTGTTTTCTTTGATCAATAACTTGTCTCCGGCCTATTCTTCCCTTTCTAGTATAATCACATGAAAGCCCACTGTTTCTTTTCTAGCCTTTGCACCCCTCACTGCTCTCCAAAGGAGGGGGGGCATTCTACGCTTGCAAAGAACACCAACAAGAGGATTCCTGAGAAGCCAGAGGCAACACAAAGCTGACTTGGCTACCCAGGAAGTGACCCTAGACCAGGCAAAGCCCCGTTTACTGAATGCAGGAATGCAACCCGGGGCCAAATTGACTTGTTGAAACAAAAACTGACCAAACAGGATACACAAACAGGAAGGTGGACGCTCCTGGAGGTCAGACCCATCCTTCCAGCAAGTCTGGGAAGGCAACTGGTGACAGGCCTCCACCAAGCCACCTAGGGAAAGGGGAACTGCCTTATTCCCCAGACCCAGGTACTATGTTCCAGATGTGGCAACTGTGTTCAGGCAAAACCCGACGGGAATTCCTTTATCAGTGTGCCCATGTGTAAATTTAAAAGGTGTACTGTCGAAGTCCAGGAAACACTGATGGGGGTGGGGAGTTGGCAATTGATCACTCAGCAGACTTTTCTCTGAGGGAACAAAGTTTCATTTACTGTGATTTACAAGGACTCCCTGTGACCAGCGAAAAACTCATTGGGAACTCTTTCAGAGCCAGTGGAAAAAAAAAGGGGGATCTCTCTCTCTCTCTCTCTCTCTCTCTCTCACACACACACACACACACACACACGGTGGATGAAGCAAGCTTCGAGAAGCTCTAACAGCTTCACACATACACATGCATACACACATGTACACACACATTTGGTGGATGAAACTAAAGCTGCAACTTCACACCTGTATTGTTATTGGTTTAAAAAAAAAATCCCAGTCGTTCGATTTTTACCAATAAAGACTCAGCAGCCAGGTATTGGGGTGAAAACCTGCTATCTTAGAGAGGCAGGAGAGCATGATTGGGCTTGCTTACACCTGCACACATGCAAACACGGTGCTGGAGAAGTAACAAGGGTTCTGCATTTAGATCCACAGGCAGCAGGAAGCGAATGACGCTAGGCCTGGTGGGCCTTCTGAAACCTCAGAGCCCAGCTCCAGTGACGCATTTCCTCCAATAAGGCCACACCTCATGACGCATTTCCTCCAACAAGGCCACACCTCCTAATCCTCGGTAATGCTGCTCTCTGATGACTAAACACTCAATTATGAGCCTATGGGGGCCGTTCTTACTCAAACCCACCGCACTAGGCTTTACTCTGACTTGTCCCGAAATTTCTTTTTTTAAGATATGTTCTATGGTGAGACAGTGGCAGTACACACCTGTAATCCCAGCACTTGGGAGGCACAGGCAGGTGGATCTCGTCAGTTCCAGGCCAGCCTGGTCTACAGAGAGAGTTCCAGGACAGCCAAGGCTACATTGAGAAACCCTGTCTGGAAAAAACCAAACAATAATTTTAAAAAATTAAATATGTGTGTGTGTGTGTGTGTGTGTGTGTGTGTGTGTGTGTGTGATATGTGAGTGTGTGGGGGAGTGTGTGGAGGCAGATGCCTGTGTATTGGTGCATGTCTGTGTGTGTGTGTGTGTGTGTGTGTGTGTGTGTGTGTATGCACGTGGAGACCTGAAATTGACAGTACATGTCTTCTCTGTCGCTCTTCACTTTGTTGGGGTAGAAGGTCTCTCTCTGAACTCGGAGCTCACTGACTCCAGCTAGTCCTGGGGATCACCTGCCTCTGCCCCGGGGAATTACAAGCCAGCCCGGCTTTTACAAGATTTCTGAGGATCTGAACTGTAGCCTTCATCCTGGCAAGGCAGGTTCTTTACCCCTTCAGCCCCTGGGGATTCTCCATGGTGCGGGCTGCAGTCACTGATTGGGCTTGACCTTGGTAGAGCAGGGTTGAATCTCCTCTCCTTGCTTGACCTGTTCAGCCAAACAGAGGCACCCTGCAGAGTGAGGAGAGTTAAATAGAAGTACTTTCCGCCTCCTGTTTGTCCCATCGGATACGAACTAAAGTTCTTAGGGGGAAAAGCCGCCATGTACCCAAGTAAGGAAGGTTCAAAAAGCAATTCCTCAGGATCACCGCGCTAGAGGACCCTGGGGGACTTTTGCTAAACTGTTAGGATGTGGGCAGTGGTCCTCGTAACTCGGTATTTGTACCTTTATTTCAACATCACTTTGAAAAAGTCATTACTGTTCAGTTTTTCTGCGTACAGGCCTCGGTAGCCTATAAACACTGCCGACTTTCTCACCGCCTCTGACGAAGGAGACCGGGAAGTCAAGGGTTCCCTGGTGATCACAGACTCCAGAGGGCAGAAGAAACGATTCATCCCACAGTATTCTAATTCTTCACAGTGTCAAGATGGTGCCAACCCTGAGCCTGGAGCCCGCGGGCCGCAGCTGCTGGGACGAGCCGCTGGGCATCTCCGTGCGCGGCCTGGCCCCCGGGCAGCCCGTCACGCTGCGCGCGGCCCTGCGCGACGAGAAGGGCGCGCTCTTCCGCGCCCACGCGCGCTACCGCGCCGATGCCCACGGCCAGCTGGACCTGGCGCGCGCGCCCGCGCTGGGCGGCAGCTTCGCGGGGCTCGAGCCCATGGGGCTGCTCTGGGCCATGCAGCCCGAGCGGCCTTTCTGGCGCCTGGTCAAGCGCGACGTGCAGACGCCCTTCGTGCTGGAACTGGACGTGCTGGACGGACACGAGCCCGACGGCGGGCGGCTGCTGGCCAAGGCGGGGCACGAGCGCCACTTCCTGGCTCCCGGGGTGCGGCGCGTGCCCGTGCGCGAGGGCCGGGTGCGCGCCACGCTCTTCCTGCCCCCAGGTGAGCTGCCCCCCACCCCCACCCCACCCCCACCCCCCCGTCCTGGGCTTGCAACCAGAGATGCTTCAGGGGTGCGGCCCCTGGGCCCCTTCGGGTTCATGGCTGGGGGAGTCCTGAACTCACCTCAGGAGCAGAGCCTCAAAGCTCGCCCAGGCCTCCGGAACTGGAAATCTGCACTGTGATAATGAGATCCACAGTGGTTGTGCACGGGTTCACTTTTGTCAGCTTTGCTCTAGAGGAGCTTTCTAACTTGTAGAACTTGAGTGCTGCTCAGAGACTGGAATTGAAAGTGTGTGTTTGTTGTTGTGTAAGACCTGCGGTCTCACAGCTCAAGAGTTTAAGATCATGCCCTTCCCAGAAACTCTCACAGACTCGTTGCAAAAGCAAGAGGTTTATTAACCATTGCGCAATGGGGTCACCCCTGCCGGTCAGCAAAGAGTGGCACCGGGAGACAAAGACCTTAGGTTTTTAAAAGAAAAATTTCTGGAAATTTGAAGTTGCAGTTTTGGCAATTTAGGATTGGATGAGGAAGCTATAAAGTAAAATAATTGGTTAGTCTTAGGTGCTCAAGCTTGGCCAGTCCTGCCAAGTGTGGATGCAGCTACAATTGAAGGTGGCGGTGGTTAGCTTATCCTTGAAGATTAGGGCTGCGGGCTCTTGGCTGGAGGTCAGAAGCTACTCAGAAGAAGTCTGGGTTGTTTGCTAAGAAACAATATCTCGAAGACAAGGGTCTGGTCATTCTTTTTGCTGAGTGAAGGTCATTGCTTGCTCGCTTTTTTTCTCTATCTGTCCTCACAGATAGGGTCACATACTCCATACTCTGGAAAGGTACTAAGAGGCTTTAGCTTAACCTGAACCTAAAACTCAAAACTATAGGCTTTAGAAGACATACAGGTTACAAAGTTAGTCTAACCCTTTCAGTTGTTTGTTTGTTTTTAACTGATATAAAACTAAAATTTATTATAAGATTCCAGACCATGTCTTGTGAGCTATTTAAAAAGTTCAAAGAACAAATTTTTTTTCTTTTTTAAAAACTTGTGTATAAGTTTATGTATTTATTTATTACAGTTGATTCACTTTGTATCCCAGCTGTAGCGCCCTCCCTTGTCCCCTCCCAATCCCGCCCTTCCTCCCTCTTCTTTTCCTATGCCCCTCCCCCAGGCCAGTAATAGAGATGGTCCTCCCACCCTTCTATCTGACCCTAGTCTATCAGGTCTCATCAGGACTGGCTGATTGTCTCCCTCTGTGGCCTGGTAAAGCTGCTCCCCTACTCAGGGGGAGGTGATCAAAGAGCCAGCACCTGAGTTCACGTCAGAGACAGTCCCTGTTCCCCTTTCTAGGGAACCCTTTGGACACTGGGCTGCCAAGGGCTACATCTGTGCAGGGATGCTAGGTTATCTCTGTGCATTGACCTTGTTTGGAGTATCAGTCTCAGAAAAAGATCCCTGTGCCCAGAGTTTTTCGTTCTGTTGCTCTCCTTGTGGAGCTCCTGTCTCCTCCAGGTCTTTCTATCTTCCCCTTCTTTCATAAGATTCCCTGCACTCTGCCCAAAGTTTGGCTATGAGTCTCAGGATCTGCTTTGATACCCTGCAGGTAGAGTGTTTCAGAGGCCCTCTGTGGTAGACTCCGGTCCTGTACCCTGTTTTCTCCCTCCTCCAATGTCCATCCTGTTTGTCTTTCTGAATAAAGCTTGAGCTTCTTACCCAGGGTCCTCCTTCTTCCTGAGTGAGGTATCCCAGAAGCAGAAAGACACACATGGCATATACTCGCTTTTAAGTGGATATTAGACATAGGATAAACATACTAAAATCTGTAGTCCTTAACTAAGTGTGTGTGTGTGTAGACCATGGGGTTTTGTTTCTTAGGTGATTCTGGGGTATTCTTTCTCAGGTGAAAGAGCACAGCTTTGAGAGGGGCTCAGGTTCAGTGACTCAGAAAGAGCCTTTCTAAGAAGTTAGCCTTGATGCTCATGACCCTGACTGCTGAAATGCTGATGAAAAGCAGTTTGATGAGCATCCTAGGATAGCAGGTTGCTGTGTTTCTTACACAACAGTTAATACTTAGTGTGCCAAGTTTCCGTGGCCAAAGTGCTGCTGCAGAAGATGGAAGGGATGAAAATGCTTCTCTGGCAAACAGCCTTGAAATAGGATAGCTACAAATTTATGCACCACAAGGAAACCCCACCAGCCCTGAAGGACTTTCGATAACAGCTTCCCCTAATGGTTTCTCTGGACTTCCTCATGGGCATCTGTGCTCCCTTCCCATTCCAAGTCTGTCATACCCTGGTATCCTAACTAGGGCACTGTTTTTAAACTCCACTTTATTTGGGGTTCCTAAAGCTTCTAGCTCTCTTCCAAATCCCCAGTCCTGGGTAGGAGAAAAAGAAGGTTAGAAGGGAAAGGGGACATAAACATTACTACTTCCTGTTCAGTAGGGTCATTGGGGTCTTTTTGGGGCAACACCAGTCTCAGCCATCAGGATACCCCACAGTCCAGGATATCAGCAAACCAGCAAACACAGCAAGCAGGCGTCCTCTTTCTTAGAAGAATTCTCGGGAGGTGGAGGGCATGTAGAAGTATTCCCTCAGTCTGTCTCCTCCAAGCCGCCATGCCTTTTCTCTCTAGGCCCTGGTATTTATACCAACTGTAGCTGGCAAAGACAGCACCCCTCTGAATGCAGCATGGCACAATTATCAGAGACAGTCTAAGGCAGTCCCATATCCCACATTTGGGATTAAAACATAACATAAGTGAGTTTTAAAAGGAACAAAAACTTCCAATACAGCCCCAATATTTTAAGCAATATAGATGAGCATGAAGTCAGTTTAACTATATGGTAGCAACCTTGAAAATGACAAACCTTGGGCCCAGAGGTTAACATCCTTGGCTGCTTTTGTAGAGGCTGTGGGTTCACCTTCCAGCACCTATGTGGCAGCTCACAACTGTATGTAACTCCAGATATGAGGAGTCTGACACCCTCTTCAGGTGTCTTTGGGCACCAGGCACACAGGTAGTGCACAGACATACAAGTTCATGCAAAACATTCATTGTTGTTTTACAACAAAATCAGTATTTGACTTTCCCAATATAGACTCAGGATCCAGATGCTGAGGTGAAAGCCTGCTAGCTCAGAGAGACAGAAAGCCCCCAGCTGACCTTCCTACTCAACATCCCAGAAGGGAAAAGCTCCTTCACCTTCTCCATGCTGTCTTAAAATCCCTTCAAACTGAATGCCCCTCCTTTCTACTTCCTGTGCATCCCTCTGTCTGTCCTCCGGACTTCCTCTCATTCTGTGTGGTTTGTTCCTATGTTCACTCCCTGTCATCTGGTTGCTACCCTGCCTCTTGACCTAGGGTTGACTTTATTTCATCCTGTTTACAGAAAGCTCGTGGATTGAAGGTGTGTGCTAGGGCCGAGCCACAACACAACCAGAAAGAGGCTCTTCCAGTACCCAATCCTGGGTTCACAGCGTGATCAGCTATCCTGCAATAATTCATTCATATCATCATTATTTTAAAATATTTTAAAATAATTTTTTTTAAATTACAAACCCTTGCCAAGAATATGTAGCCATTACCTAAGAATATAGAATTCCTTTAAAGATTTCCTTTTTATAAGTAAACCAGCGGTGGGCTTTGACAGCATAATAGTAGAAAAATTAAATTATGATCTTTTTATTACAAGCATAAGAAACAGAATTTGGGTACTTTAAGTAGGAAAAGAACATATTGGAAGGTCAACAGATGTAGGAAAACAATCAGCAATGACATTAGAAAGTGGGACCAGGAACCTGGGAGGACCCAAGGGAGGCTGCACAAAAAGCCAGGCAGCGAGTCCAGGCACCGACCGAGGCAGCAGCTGACACCTGCAATCATGGGCTCTCAGAGCTGCTGTGGACTCAGGGCAAAGGCTGTTGAGCTGAGAATATGGCAAACTGTCTCTCCATCCTGTGTCCGCCTGAACCCATGGGCCTCTCTGATATAATATCCAATAAGGTCTGCTCTCAAAGAAGGAGACGAGGGTTGAATGCCTGTAACTCTCCTCTCTCCCTGCTCTCATTTAGAGGAAAGAACAAATTCAAAATTTCATTGAGGACTCTTACATTGCTTGTTTTCTTTGGTTTGTTGTTTTGTTTTGTTTTGTTTTGTTTTGTTTTAGGAAAGGGACCCTATCCTGGGATCATGGACATTTTTGGAATTGGACATGGCCTCCTGGAGTATCGAGCCAGTCTGCTGGCTGGGAAGGGCTTTGCCGTGATGGCTCTGGCTTATTATAACTATGACGACCTCCCCAAGGACATGGACGTGATCCACCTGGAGTATTTTGAGGAAGCTGTGAACTACCTGCTCAGTCACCCTCAGGTTAGCTGTTGTTTTTGCCTTTGGTTTAGGAACTATGTTCCTTAAACAGCCACCCACCAAGGTAAGATTGTCAGCTCAGTGGCTGAGCTGTTGGGCAATAATCAAATGTTCTTCTCCCAGCCAGGAAGAGAAGTGCATTTCTGAACTGAGGGTATCTCAGGCACTGATGAGAACAGGAGCTCTGGTGACTGAATGCCTCACCTAGAAGCCAGGTGTTGTGGTGTGTCTGGAAAGGGGCTTCCCTGGGACCCCTACAGTCAGCAAACGGAAGAGGAACCTAGACTGGAGGTGGGCTCAGGCATTCAAATCACTTGCTGAGCTTCCACAGGACCAAAGTTGGGTCAGCAGCACCCAAGTCAAGTAGCTTATCACTGTCTGTAACTCCAGGTCCAGGGAATAGGAGTAGAGCTGTGGACACACACACGCATGCACACGCACCCACACGCACACACACACTTAAAAATCCATCCTTACTCAGGCACACTAGTGAAGTGCTAGGGCCCCTGGAGGCATCATTGCTTTGGGTTGTGTCTGTCTCCTACCCCTGGTTTTGTTCTTGCACTGAATGACTCACACTTGGAAAGTCCCTGCAGTGGGGCCTTCCATTCACTGATCTCGTTCACTTGGCAAACAGCAGAGGACTTAGGCCTGGCTGGATACAAATGAGGAAGACAGAGTCAGGTCCCTATGAGCTTAGCATGTGTGTAGGGGGTGAGGGCAATGAAAAAAAGAAAATCACATTCAGTGAGAACAAGGAAACTTCAGAGGCCACTAATGGAGAGCAGCCGAAGCGAGGTTGATGGGAAGAGCCTCGTTTTGCCTGTTAGAAGTAAGAAAGTCATTGCCTGGGAGCCTTCAGCGAGAACCCTTGCAGACGCTTTGCCTGGCCCTACAGTCACATGAGTGTGTAACCTCATTAGCCTTGTCCCTACTCTCCAAAGCCTGTCAATAGTTCTGAATAGGAATCTTCTTCCAAGTCCAATTCCCCTAAACACTCTTTTTAAACAGCATTTCCTAATGTTAATCAGAATTGCTTTTGTTTGAAACATCTTCTTCCCCAGAACCTAAACATGGATCTTGAACTCATACAACATGAAGCTGACCTCAGTTTACCGTGATGCTTATTGAATGATAATGAATCCATATGACTGTACTGTAAAATCAGTGAGGGACTTTCTGATACCCGCAGTAACTCCCAGTGATGACACAGAGACCAACTACATTTATTAATACTCTTTAAGCACGAAATCTGGGCAGAGCCTCATTTTTTCTAATCTGTCTACACTAGTCTGGAGAATCTCCCAGCCATGTGCCTCGGTAGCTGCCCTCTAATCTCACCCTGCCTGCTGCTGCTCCCTCTGTGTCTACTAGAACTCTCCCATAGCAACCTCCTCATGGCAATCTTCTCCTGGCCACTGTGACCCTCTTTCCCTGGTTGCAAGTCCAGCCTCAACTGTCCTGCCCAGCTATAGGCTGTTCAGCTCTTTATTAACCAATCAGAGAAGATGGAGAACAATCTTTACACAACAGAAAGCAGGAGCTGCTTCAGGAATGATGACATTGCCCAGGGCAGGAGAGATGGCTCAGCAGTTAGGAACACTGTCTGCTCTTCTAGAGGTCCAGAGTGTAATTCCCAGCAACCACATGGTGGCTCTCAACCATCAATAATGTGACATGATGTCCTACTCTGCCATGAAGGGGCACATGCAAATAGAATACTCATATATATAAAATAAATAAACAAATTAAAAACAAAACAATGACAATGTCCACATCCAGGCTGCAAGGGATCTCTGGGTGCAGGAATCAGTGTTTGCATGCACAGTGCACAACCCTGTCCCCCGACAATGCAGGGCCCTCTACTGAATGTAAATGCATCCCAGACAAGAAGGAAAACCTTTTCCTGATTGCCAACGTGTTCTCTTTGACACACGCATGCTTAGGAATTGTGCCTGTTACTCCTCGTGTGAGCTTCATGGAGACTGTGGGACTTCGAGTTAGGTCCCATCATACCACTCAGGACATTGATTTGAAGAATCAATTTATAAAAGCGCCAGGATGGTCCAGAGTGAGCTTCAGGCTCAGGGCCACCTTGCATCCATTGGTTGGCATCACGCGCTGTCCTGCCCTCTAGGTGAACTCATGCTCTTTCTTTTTCTTGGTCTCTTTCTTAGGTCAAGGGTCCAGGAATTGGCCTGCTGGGAATTTCCAAAGGGGCTGATTTCTGCCTCTGCATGGCCTCTTTCCTGAAAGGCATCACGGCTGCTATCATAATCAATGGCTCTGTGGCCAATACTGGCAAAATCTTACAGTACAAGGATCAGACCCTGCTCCCTGTGGGTACTGACATTAATCGCATCAAAGTGACCAAAGATGGCCTTTCATGTGTGGTGGATATCCTGAACGTCCCTCTGGAAGGGGCAGACCTGAAGAGCATCATCCCCGTGGAGAGGTCAGACACGACCTTCCTGTTCCTCGTTGGTCTGGATGACCTTGAAAGGAGGAGCGAGTTCTATGCCAGAGAGGCCTCCAAACGCTTACAGGCCCACGGGAAGGAGGAGCCCCAGATCATCTGCTACCCAGACACGGGGCACAACATTGAGCCCCCCTACTTCCCCTGGTGCAAGGCTTCCCTGCACAGTTTCTACAACACTGTTGTCATCTGGGGAGGGGAGCCCCGGGCTCACGCCATGGCCCAGGTGGACGCATGGCAGCAGCTCCAGACTTTTTTCCACAAACATTTGGGTGGTGAAGACAGGACAGTCCCAGCCAAACTGTAATTTTCTTTGAGTGGTGATATTTCTGATCCTTGTCCCCTCCTGAGGATAGCTGCCACGGTTAGGATGTGTGTGCATTTTTTTCTCCTGTTAATAACTTCTTGGAGTTAATAAAGTCTTGGAGTTCTACTCCACGTAGCTCTTCTGGATTGTTACTTACTGATTTGGGAAAGGAGTGGCTCTTACTTTCTCATGGTGCCAACAATGGAGCCCAGGGTTTGTGCCTGGTAGGTGAGCACTCTGTCACTGAGCTCTCTCACTATACTCAGAGGGAAGCGAGTTTAAAGAAACTCATGTGATCCGGGCCTTGAGATGACTCAGTGGGTAAGAGCAGAGGATCTTGTAGAGGATCCAGGTTCAGTTCCCAGCACCTGCTTCCTAGCTGGAGTTACAGGTGATGGAAAGCCTTCTCCTGACTTCCAGGCACTCACATACGAACATGCTGGCAAAACACTCCTTACACTAAAGGAATAAATCTTGACGAAAGAAACTTAAGAGACTGGGAAGCATTGCTGCTCCCTGCCACAGCCAGCAACTCACAATGCTTCAGTGGTCAGTTTGACATCCGTTCAATAGTGCAGCTCAAGGACTATTTGCTGGATGACCGTTGACAAATCAATCTTCTCCTGCTGTGCAGGAGAGCCTAGGCAGTGGCCCTTCCTGTTTTGGGCTTCCCCGCTGCAGTGTCTACCACCCATGGATTGAACTTATTTGAAAGCAGCACTGAGTCTCCACTGAACGCACAGGGTCCTTTTCGGGTCATTATTCCTCAAACCTTATGTCATCGTGTGGGAGCTATTTGCACAGATTTGTGTTATACTGAGGGTCACAAGCACTCTGGAGGTCATCGCAACGTTAGAGAGAAGGTTTTCAGGTCACGAGCCAATTCCACACTATTTTATTTCAAGTGTGTGAATCATTGCAGGGTTTGGGCCCAAGAACCAATCCCCCATGAATGTCCGTGAACAACTGTCATGTCTACCTCGCTACCATATCAGATTAGAGTTTCTCCTCTTAGAATGGAGTCTACACGCCTTAGTACAGAGTATTTGCGAGTTAGATAGGAACTGATAAAAAATGTTTAAAGCAAACCATATTCAGTTTTATAATGTCTCTTCAAATGAACAAGAAATTATACTGGGTTCCTGTTACTAGAGACACAGAACTTTACTGTTTCAAAAGTTGATAAAGCAGTTCGATTGGGATTATGTAACTTCTACCAGTGATAGTCATGAAAATATGCAAAAGTGAGACCTATTATAGTTCGAGAAACCCAAATGTCCCTTAAGCCACTAACTGTATCTAAAATAAAGCACCTTAATTTATTGTTGTTGTGTTCTTTTTATCTTTGAAAGCCACCAATTCCGTGTGTGTGTGTGTGTGTGTGAGTGTGCGCATACCCATGTGTCCCCCTTTGCTGTATTTTCCTCTCAAATCAGAGTTCCAAACCACGCTGAAAAGAGAGAGAGAGGGAAAGTCTAAGCCTTGAAGCCACTAGAATAAACACACCCGGCTGATAGAAGGAGAGCTTTCAGTTTTTGGAAGTGGGGGCAAAAGTGTTTCCCTCCTCCATGCTCAGGAACCTGAAATGAAGCCCAATGTTGAGCCATCGGCCATGTCCCAGCCAAGAATGCAGCCTTGTAGAGAGGAAGAGAAATCTGAGACACCAGAGCCCTTGTACCCTGTCACTCAGGGAGTCTGAGAGGCAGAGACAGGAATTGAATCCTTAAAGCACGCCTCATTCAGAGAGCTGACAGGGGGTGGACACCTGAAACTGTCTTCCTTCTCGTCCTCAGCCCTCACAGTACCTAGGCATGGGGAGCAGAGGCGGTCAGTCAGTTAGTCACAAAGATCAGTCTTGCCTCTGGCCCTGTGGTGGCCTTGTCTCTCAGGCTGCACTTTTCCCTCAGTACCTTTGCTCTGTGTAGTGGGGTAGGTTTGCAGACGTCGGGTCCTGCCTTCCCCCTGAGTCCTTGTGTGGGTGATTAGCCTTAAGATTAACTCAGAGCCAGCAAACCATCAGCAGTGTGCTCGTGATGAGCAGTCCTGGGGCATCTGACCCTCCCTACAGAATGAAGTTCAAATGCCACCTGTAGCAGAGAAGATGAGTGTCTAGAAAAACCCCATGCAAAACAAGAACTGGAAGTTTAGTCCTTTGTTTATAGGTATAAAAGACTATTAGGAAAACCAACAGCATGAATCTGGGGAAAAAACAAAACAAAACCACAGACTCAAGTATATTCACATATAATCCAGTGAGCACACACAATTTAGAAAATTGTCCTCATTAGCATACTCACATTTGATATCTGAGAACACTGTCTATCAACTTAGAAGAAAGAAATAAGACAATCTTAGAATTTCTTCTAAAAGGTAGAAATATATGTTTTAAAAAATCAAGGCATGGACGATTACAAAACCCCCTCTGTACTGCTTATATTTCCAAGTTCTGAGACATCAAGAGGTTCACTTAATTTTAAGCATTGAGGACGAATGAAAACAATGAAAAGGAACTGGCCCAGCAATGATTCTCAGTCATTTGTCCTTAGGCAGGGTGTTTCAATAAGCCTGGTCCTGATCTACCAGAACTGGAGCCAAAAGTCATGGGTGCCAGGAGAGTAAAGAAAGAAACAGAGGGCTCCAGAATTAAACATGAGAAACCTTCCTGGGGAGTCAGAGGCAGAAATGTGTCCTGAGCAGCAACATGGCAGAAAGATTTTTGCATCCAATCACAGGATCGATGGTTTGTGACCTATGTTTGCCAAAGGTGGGCCGTGAGAACTGAAAGTACCTAGGCTTCTCTAAAACGTATTAATGTCAGTTGAAAACAGCCTGAGCACCAGTGAATGTCATGTCCTCCTTAGCTGACTGTCTCAATGACTCTGCTGGTCATAAGGGCTTGGGGTGTGCGACAGAATAACAGGCCGTACGAGACAGCTGTTATAACCAAGGTACAACAGTAACGTCAAGCCAAATCTCCAGTGTCACAAAGGATGACTTGATACCTATGGAAAATTTTAGAACGAGAGGCTTCACGATGAGATGAAAAAGAGAACTTTAAACATCTTTCGAAATGGAACTGGAGAGATGGCTCAGAGGTTAAGAGCACTGGCTCCCCTTCCTGAGATCCCTTTTCAATTCCCAGCAAACACATGGTGGCTCACAACCATCTATAATGAGACCTGGTGCCCTCTTCTGGCGTGCAGGTGTACATGCAGGCAGAACACTGCGTACATAATAAATAAATATTTCCCTATTATTATTATTTACAATGTATTCTCTTTTTTTCCCAGTTGTAGCCACCTCCCTCCTCTCCTCCCAGTTGGACCCTCCCTCCCTCTTCCTCTCCCATTCCTCTCCACTAGCCCACTGATAGGGGACGTCCTCCTCCTCTACTGTCTGACCCTTGCCTGTCAGGTCCCATGAGAAATGCCTAGATCCTCTTCCTCTGTGGGCTGGCTAGATCGCCCCACCAGGGAGAAGTGATGAAGGGGCGGGCAACCGAGGTCATGTCAGAGACTGCCTCTGCTCCCCTTTACTCGGGGACCCAAATGGAGACTGTCTATGTGTACATCTGGATAGGGGGTCTCAGTCTCCTCTATACATGATCTTTGGCTGATGCATCAGTTTCTGCAGCCCCATCCTGTTCCCTCTTAAAAAAAAAAAAAAAAAAAAAAATCCAGGAGGCGGTGAAATGGTGAAATATGAGCCCCTCCAGCTTGGACTTCAGAGTCTTCAAAACGGTAAGACCTAAGTCTCTGTTCTTTATAAGGGATCTAACCTTGCATATTTCCCCAGAGTAGATAAAAGAAAAACAAACCCAAGTGCTTATTTTTCTAGAAAGCTGCTACTGAACCCACGCAAGTGCCGGACTTTGCTTCAATTTCATTCCCTGCCAGCCTCCAACACCACGTGGGTGGATCCTCTGCCCTGGCTCAACCCCAAGGCTACCCTGACCTCCCCCGCCCGCCCTGCAGACAGCAGCCTGGTTCCTGCCCCTGTCTTATCCGAGGTACGTGACCCACGAGTGAGGAACCACAGAGACCCACCAGGTCCACAGCAGGCCAGGCTGCGCTCCGGACTCGCGGCAGGGCATGGAGGCGACGCTGGTGCTGGAGCCCGCGGGCCGCAGCTGCTGGGACGAGCCGCTGGGCATCTTCGTGCGCGGCCTGGCCCCCGGGCAGCCCGTCACGCTGCGCGCGGCCCTGCGCGACGAGAAGGGCGCGCTCTTCCGCGCCCACGCGCGCTACCGCGCCGATGCCCACGGCCAGCTGGACCTGGCGCGCGCGCCCGCGCTGGGCGGCAGCTTCGCGGGGCTCGAGCCCATGGGGCTGCTCTGGGCCATGCAGCCCGAGCGGCCTTTCTGGCGCCTGGTCAAGCGCGACGTGCAGACGCCCTTCGTGCTGGAGCTGGACGTGCTGGACGGACACGAGCCCGACGGCGGGCGGCTGCTGGCCAAGGCGGGGCACGAGCGCCACTTCCTGGCTCCCGGGGTGCGGCGCGTGCCCGTGCGCGAGGGCCGGGTGCGCGCCACGCTCTTCCTGCCCCCAGGTGAGCTCCCCACCCCCCCCCCCCCCCCCACCCCACCCCCTACCCCCGTCCTGGGCTCACTGTCTAGTTTAGTTTCTGGTCCTCAGTAGACTGCTTTCCTGGCAGGACAATCAGATAATCGTGCAACTTCATTAACCTTTGTCCCCTCTCTCCTAGGCCTGTTGATATTTGTTTTGTTTTCAAGACAGAGTTTCTCTGTGTAGCCCTTGGCTGTCCTGGAACTTGCTCTGTGGACCTGGCTGACCAGGAACTCAGAGTGCTGGGATTAAAGTTGTGCACCCCCATCGCCTGGCTTGTCAGGTGCTTGAAATGATAAATTTCTACCAAGTCCTGATCCATTCAGGCACCGTGAATCCCTCAGCTCTAAACTGAAGAGAGCATACAACTTACATTTATTGAATCCCGCTAAAAGCCAGCCGTGTGGATATGTTTGAAGTACCAATATAATCAATTACTGATGCCTGTAGTAAGAGTTACTTTTGCCTCCTAACACATCAAATTTTCAATGAGCCTTGAACTTAAAAATTAAGACAGTGCTCCTCATCATTAAAGCGCACATGAATATCCTGGCAGCCTAGCCTCTCCCTCTACCAAAACTACTGATAGCGATTTTTGCTCCTCCATGAAGATATTTGGCAATATCTGCAGAGATTTTGTTTGCTTGTTTGTATGACAAAAAGTGAAGGCAGGGAAACAAACACACACACACTTTAGTCCCAGCACTTGGGAGGCATAAGTAGGCAGATCTCTGTGCGTTTGAGGCCAGCTTGATCTACAGGTGAGCTCCAAACTAGCATAGTGAGACACCATCTCAAAAAACAAACAAAAAAATACCAGCCAGATGTGGTGCCAAACATCTGTAACTCTGTCACTCCCCTGGTGAGAGCCAGATGCAGAAGGATCAAGAGTTATGGGCCACTTTATACAATGTAGTAAGACCATGTCTCCAAGTATAAATAAATAAATAAAGTACACTGGGTTCTGTTTCACAAATGTCTCCAGCCTACCCCCTTGACTTCAAAGACTTACTCTTGCTGATGGTTAAAATCTGAATTCTCCAAATGTCTTTTGAGAAGCTAAAGTGTTTTGCGATGTGATGTGTGGTGTTCCGCAGGCGAGGACCAGTTCCCTGGGGTCATCGATTTGTTTGGAAGCGGCGGTGGCCTGTGTGAGTACAGAGCCAGCCTTCTGGCTGGGCACGGTTTTGCTGTGCTCGCCCTGGCTTATTTCAGGTTTGAAGACCTCCCTGAGTACTTGAGCGATGTGCGCCTGGAGTACTTTGCAGAAGCCTTGGCCTTTATGCTGCGGCATCCACAGGTGGGTTCCTTTGCTGGCCTGGATGCAGAGGAGGAGGGTGGAGTGGACGCACGGACAGCCGAAAGCTCTGCCAGGACACTGGGCATTAGAAAGACAAAGAGAGACCCAAGCAGTCCCTCAACACTTGCTAAGATTATTCCTGTTTCTGCCCATATCTCCTATCTCTTAAGATGTAACTGTTTCTTTTTGTAACCACCATAACTCCAAAAGCAGTACACTAAGAGACTCCTAACCTTGACCTCTCCTCCCACAGCTGCCCAAGTACAGGCAACCCCAGAGGACTGCCTTTTCTCACCACTAACATCAATATAAGGTGTTAGTGGGAAAACTTGACTGAAAAGAGATGTCTCCGTGATCCTTGATGACACCGGTATAGGACCAGTATTTTGGTGATATTAAGGATTCTCATCAATGCTGTCAGTGTGATAAATATTAGTGTGCTGGCTAGTTTTATGTCAACTTGACACAAGGTAGAGTCATCAGAGAGGAGGGGGCCTTAATGGTGAAAATGCCTCCATAAGATCAGGGTGTAGGCAAGCCTGTAGGAATTTTCTTGTGTTTTTGCATGTATGCACCAGATCTCATCAATGATGGCTATGAGCCACCGTGTGGTTGCTGGAAATGGAACTGAGGACCTCTGGAAGAACAGCCAGTGCTCTTAACCTCTGAGCCATCACACCAGCCCAGGACATTTTCTTTAATTAGTGATTAATGTGAGAGAGCCCAGCCCACTGTGCGTGGTACCACTCTGGGCTGGGGGTCCTGAGATCCGTAAGAAAGAAGGCTGAGTGAGCCATGTTGAGCAAGCCAGTAAGCAGCACCCCTCCATGACCTCTGCATCAGCTCCTGCCTTCAGGTTCCTACCCTGTTTGAGTTCCTGTCCTGACTTCCTTCAGTGATGAACACTGATATGGAAGTGTAAGCCAAATAAACCCTTTCCTTCCCAAGTTTCTTTTGGTCAAGGTGTTTTATCACAGTAACGATAACACTAAGTCAATCACTATACTTTTATAAAGTATCTGATAGCAATTTTATTTTAAATATTTTTCTGTGAATAGAAGTGAAATGACACTGTCTTAGTTAGGATTTCTATTGCTGTGAAGAGACGCCATGCCCCATGGCAACTCTTAAAAAGAAAAGCATTTAATCAAGGCTGGCTTACAGTTCAAAGGTTTAGTCCATTGTCATCATGGCAGGAAGCAAGGCTGCATGCAGGCAGACATGGTGTGGGAGAAGGAGCTGAGAGTTCTATATCTGGATCAGCAGGCAGCTGGAAGAGACAATGAGCCACTGAGCCTGGCTTGAGCTTCTGAAACCTCAAAGCCCACCTCCCTATTACACACTTCCTCCAACAAGACTACACCTATTCCAACAAAGCCACACCTCCTAATACTGCCATTCCCTATGAACCCATGGAGGCCATTTTCATTCAAACCACCACAAGCTTTTGCTGCCATCTAAACTTAGAGTCTGGAACATTCTAATGTTAAGGGATAAGATGTTCTGTAAGGAATGCAGAATGCTCAAACTCTGCTGTCATTCAGGGGTGACTCCTAGCAGGGCTATGAAAACCTAGATGTAGGCATGACACCTTTAATGCCAGCATTTGGGAGGCAGAGGCAGGAGGACCTCTGTGAGTTCCAGGCCAGCCAGATGATCTGCAACTGTGATGGTTTTACTAAGGAGAGATAAGGTCCTAGGAAAACAAGAGTCCAATATGCACTGTGTATTTGACCCCTTAAACCCTGGGAAGAGTAGTTCCCGGCCTGGGTCCTTTGTTTTACATTACATGCTATGGTCTTTCTTTGGCTGAGCTCTTTCCCACATGGAAATTTATCTGCTTGGGACCCAAACATTCTTAACCACACTCGTGGGGTAGAGAACTTCCACATTCTCTGCCCGGCATCTCTGATCAGGTGTCCAAGCCCTATGCCCCTTCCCTGGGTTAACAAGAACATATACACCTAGGCCTTAAACATGTAAACTGCATGTCCACACATGAAAGAACTTTATGGTGCACAAAAGAGGCAGTGATGGAAAGAGAAAGAGGGTGAGCTAGGATCCCGGACCTGGAGTCCATGACTGGCTCTTCTTCTTGCTATATCAATACAGAACTACAAGTGAGTTCTGAGGTTTTAATTTAATTTAACTTACCACCTTAATTCTAAGGTGGTATATTTATCCAGGCAGGAAAAAGTATTTAACAGTTTGTTTATTAATTTAGCATATAAGGGCCTTTATGTATACTCTTGACCTGGTCTTTATAATCATTAGATGGTCTATGTACTCAGAAATCAATTTATTTGTTTATTAGCAGGCTTGTTTTCACTTTGTAGATTATTGTATAAGGAAGACAAGGAGGCTGTATTTGAGAAAGGTACTTGGAGAATATAAAATCACTATATACTTTCCATTTGCGAACTCTACGCTTGTTCTCTCTCAGGTGGAAGGCCCAAATATTGGGCTCCTTGGTTTCTCCAAAGGTGGTGACCTGTGTCTCTCAATGGCCGCTTTCCTGAAGGACAACATCACAGCCACTGTCCTGATCAACACCTGTGTGGCCAACACCATAGTTCCTCTGCATTACAAAGGTCTGTTTCTTCCTGACCTTGGCTGTGACCCAACAAAACAGAAGACCATGGAGTCGGGCCTTTGGGATTTGGTGGATATTTGGAACAATCCTCTGGAGGAACCAAACCACCGGAGTCTGATTCCCCTGGAAGAGGCCCAGGGACCCTTCCTGTTTATTGTGGGCATGGATGACCATAACTGGAAGAGCGAGTTCTATGCTCACATAGCCTGCGGACGCCTACAAGCCCACGGAAAGGACAGACCCCAGGTAATCTACTATGCAGACACTGGTCACTGCATTGACCCCCCATACTTCCCTCCTTCCATAGTTTCTGTGCATGCGGTGTTGGGCGAAGCAGTATTCTATGGAGGTGAGCCGAGCGCTCACTCAAGGGCACAGGTGGATGCCTGGCAACAGATTCAAGCTTTCTTCCGAAAATACCTCAGTGGTGAAAACCCTGTCAAGCGCAGCAAAATATAACGTTGCGGTTATACTGAGAGCTCTGATCATGCCAAGCAGATTCTTCTGGACTTCCAGAACACGGAGGAGGTTTGGGGTTTGGTTTTGGTTTGGTTTGTCCCATATATCCCAGACTGGGTCTCACATTCACTGTGTAGACAAGGATGAACTTCTGGTCCTCCTCTTTGGTCATACACTATCATGCCTAGTGTTATGTGTTGCCAGGGACAAAACCCAGGGCCTCGTGTCTCCTAGGCAAACATTCGGCCAACAGAACTGCATCCCTAGATCCCTAGGAAGCTTTCCAGCCTCTTTGTATGGATCCCACTGAGCCTTTGGAACAATTCTCCCTCTCGTGGTGCTGGGTTGACTCTCTCCTCTGAACTTGAACTAATGGATCTGTTTGACTCTGTGTCTGTAAGACCAACCTTAATCTTAGGTAAAAGGATGTAAGAGGGACCTGTCCCACTCCCGCCCCTGGGCTGTCTTTCCTTCCTCTGCTGGGGACTGATGTGCATTGCTCTGAAGTCTCATATCCCCTCTGAGCCCTAACTGATGTTATCTGAGTCTTCAGAACCTACCTGCCAATGTCACACAACAAGTGGATTGATCAGTTTTTAACATGCCTGAAATTTACTCAAGACGTCACCCTGAACCCTAGGTACCTCTCAATGTACTTCTTTTACATCCACCATCTTGTCTGGATTACCAGTCACCGCATGGTATTTTCCTGGCTGGGAAAACTGTCTTGATGTCAAGATTTTCATGACTCTGAAATGTGAGCCCGAGCCTATGACTTTGGGCACAAAGTTATGGCCAGGCTGGTCACACCGTCTCTCATTGTCATCTGCTCTTACGACAGATGAGGAGACTAGTTGCTTCACCCTACAGTAGCTGAAGCATTCTCTAGAGTCCTGCGGTTCCAGAGTAGAGGGTCTTCCCTGAGCACAGGAAATTCTTCCAAGACTTTAGGACAAACCCCATGGTTTTCTGGGTGTGCACAAAACCTCTCACCAAACCAATAGCCATTCCTATTCCAACTGATAAAAAGAAAGGCTCCTCGGCGGTAACGGTGGTCAACCGTGAAACTTTACTTTTGTGTAATCATTCACCTTTATTATAATTTTCTCTGATTGGAATCCTGGGATCGCCTGCTTCGACTCATTCCTGGGCAGACCTGCTGCTGTGGGGGTGCTTGGGAAAAACAGCTACACAAACTTTACAACATTAGTAAAATAAGCGCAAAGCATGGAAGTCGATTCTCCCAAATTCTTAGTCATATTAAAAGCATCGAGCGACAGAAAAGTAGCATCTTCAAGCCGGTTGGTGGCAGTGTACGAGGGAGGCAGAGGAAGGGGGATCTCTGTGAGTTCGAGGCCAGCCTGGTCTACAAGGCAAGCTGCAGGACAGACAGGGCTACACAGAGAAACCCTGTCTCAAAACCACCCCACAAAAGTAGTGTCTTCAAAGATGTCTCCGTAGTAGGAAGCTGATCTGCATGGCAGGCTCTGCCAGTTACTACATGATTGATCTTGAGCTTGTTGTTAGCCTCTCTAAACCTCATTTCTTTATCTATAAAGTGGGGGGAAAACAAATACTTCATTCAGATATTATGATTAAATCAGACAATCCCCATGAAGCACTTTCATGTTTTAATTCAAAAGTATTATCTGCTTTTTTTTTTTTTTTTTTTTTTTTTAATCCTGATGAGAGACATTGAAAGCAAGGAGAGTTAAGAATTACATCTGGGGCCAGTGAGATGGCTCAGCAGACAATGCAAGCCTGAGTTCAATAACCAGAGTCCATGAAAAGGCGAAAGGAGAGAAATGATTTTATAAAATTGTCCTTTGACCGACCGCCATACCTGCCATGACAGTGCCCAACAGGTAAACCCCACTCCCTCCCCCCTCTCTCTCTCTGTCTCACACACACATACACACATACACGCTTTTTACAAAACCTGGTTGGTGAGAGAACTAAATCGGTACCCCCCACACCCCGTTAACGTCATTGATTATATGACACTATCTATCCTGAGATATTTGTTTTGTTTTATGTATATGAGTATGCTGTCTTCATGCACACCAGAAGAAGGCATCAGATCCCATCATAGATGGTTGGGAGCCACCATGTGGTTGCTAGGAATTGAACTCAGGACCTCTGGAAAGGCAGCCAATGCTCTTAATCTCTGAGCCATCTCTCCAGCCCCCATCCTGAGATATAATGCTAAGCTGCATGACGGGAACCACTGGCAAGTTTAAGTCAAGTCACATCCACAGAATGAAGGCTCCAAAAGCTGCACCAGAGAGTTTAGATTCAAACGCTTTGAAAAGTAGTCACTGTTTAACAATGATTTAAAAAAAAAAAAAAAAAAAAGACCTGCTAATAATTTTCCTTGAAACTCAGCAGCACAAAGCAGACGTGATCAGCCTAAAATGAGTTCCCTTTAAAAAAGGGAAACAGCAAGAAGCAAGTCAGAGGTGGCAATAAGCTAAGAATATGGTTCACGGAGGCTGGGATGTTTCACACTCCCACCGTCACGACATGGTACCCCCCAAATATGTACAAAGTTTCATTTTTAGGCATATTAACATTTTAAAGAAGAAAATATAACCAACTCCAACCTAGTCTTTTCCTTGGTAAACCCAACATCCTTGAACTCAAGTCTGTCAGGTGACCAAGGGTAATGGACAATTCTAAAAGTAAATACATGTTTGGGTCAGCTGCTGGCTCTTTGAAAATACCTGTGCAGCTAGACTTGATGGTCTACTAATCCTAACCACTTGGAAGGCTGAGGCAGGAAAATTACAAGGTCTTCCTGGGCACCAGCACTAGCTCCAGGCTGCCCCCAATCTACTGGAAGCCCCCTACCCTAAATTCTCCCTAGTTACAGGAAAAGCCTCTGCTGTCGCAAGGCAGTCTTGAGCTGGCGCGTTCCTGCCTCATGCAACTCTGCGCTCTACCATGGCAAAAGCGAAGTCTTGAGCCGACCCATTTCCCTGCCCAATTCGCTCCCTCCGTGCTGTTGCTGAGTGCACATCCTGAACAGGCCCAAAACTCAAGGACAGGTCCATACATTCAAGGAACAACTGAATTGTTCCCTAACCGTATCCTAACATCTGTTCGTGGTTTTTCGCTGTAAAAGGAGCCTGCCCCTTCCCGCTGAAGACGCAGATTCAGCACCCCTCGCCGGCTAGAAGCACACCCCCCATGGTGAATAAAGTTGCTACCTGGTTTAATTTGGCCTCAGCCATCCTGTCCTCATTATTTGCACAACCCCCAGACCCGACAGCGGGTACTTAATGATGAGCCTGCTCCATTTGGGTAGCATACCATTTCTGTTTCAGACCTAACGGCCACCTCATCTCAGCTTGTTGCTAAAACAAAAACAAAAACAAAATCTCTATACAAGGCCAAATTGACCAAAAACTGTGTTGATGTTCAGCATTACTCTGTGGCCTTGCTACTCCTAGAAATTCCCCGACCACAAGCGCAGCTGGCCCTAATCATAAACATTACTTGGACCAATCAAATTGAAGGTCAGGTAGAACTGCTTGTCCAGATAGCAAAAAAGTAGTCAGAGCTGGCTAACCTCCGCCACTATGCCCCCATCCTCCCGCCCCCATGTGACCTACTTGTGGCCTTCACCCTTTAAGTATGCAATACAGCTTCACCTCCAGGGTGCCATTCACATCCCAAACTGATCGCCTCCCTGAGCTCAGAGAACAAAGCTTTCATTTTAAGCTTTTGTATCTAAAATGAGTTTTCTCGGCTTCCACCCCGAACCCAACACTGAACTGAAACCTAGACTCAAAATGTTTGAAAAAAAAAGAAAGAAAGGAAGAAAGAAAATGGCTGGAGATATAGTTCAGTGATAGAGTGCTTGCTAAGTTGTCTAAGTCTGCTGCTATACATGTTAGACAACTGAAAATTCTTAATTCTTCCAAAGTATCACGACTTAAGCTAGGCTGTCTTATATGCTTGTTTTCTTTTTGTAGATTTTAGATTTGGGGGCTAGAGAGACGGCTCAGAGGTTAAGAGCACTGGCTGCTCTTGCAAATGTCCTGAGTTCAATTCCCAGCAACCACATGGTGGCTCACAACCATCTATAATGAGGTCTGGTGCCCTCTTCTGGTCTGCAGGTGTACATGCAGGCAGAACACTGTATACATAATAAATAAATCTTTAAAAAAAATTTAGATTTATTTTATGTGTTTGAGTGTTTTTGCCTGCCTATGTATAATTTATAATAATATATATAATTTATATATATATGGGATATTTCATATTCAAAACATAATGGAAAGCACACAGACTAGATATAGATATAGATATAGATATAGATATAGATATAGATATAGAT